GTACAATTCGGGCCCACTGATTGGGCTGTGAGCTCCACATCCAGCCTACCACATGTTGGAATGGGAAATTGTCCGACACTAAACGATGAAAGAAACAGCCTATCGTGGACATCTACTCAAACAACACAAATTTAACACTCAAATACCAACGCTGCATCCAGCGACGCCCTCATCCTTTAAACACTGCTCCCAATTCCCACCCTAATTGGCCGAAACCTGCCAACTCGCAAACGCCACAGTAACACAGGTCCCATCACCGTCATGATTCGCCACGGCCCCACCGCAGCCCGTCTTTTCAAACGTTTCAACCACCCAGTCTACATCTTCGGTGCCCCCGTTTGCGGTGAATTGGAAGGACTGGCCGCCGCCGGCCCTGCATCCAGAGTTGTTTTCGCCTGTAGCTGTGCGTCCGGTGCCGCTGCATCCAGCCTGTGTCCAAGTGGTCATAGACCAGTGGCCCTGCGACCTCGCGGTAATGGTGGCGTTGTCGCTGGATGGGTCCCCAATAGTGGCAGCTGAGGCGATGAGAGGAAGGAGGATGGTGATTATTACGATGAGGTTCATGATTGTGAGAATTGAGCTGGGGAAGGACTTCAAGAGTATGGATGTCACGACTGCGCGCCAGGCTCTTTATACCTACCTCCAACCATATATTCTTAAGACCACCTAAGGTTAGACTCACACCGGGCTTGACCGCATTTCGGGCGGCCCATGTCTTTGACCTTACAAGGAAATCAGTCGCCCGAAATGCGTTCAACCCCGGTCTGATTAGAGTTTCTATTTATAATTGTAACATATTTCCGGCTAATTGTATTGTTCCCTGGGCGTCCTGCAGCGAGCCAAGACACCTGTTTGCGAACAGCGCGCCGACAATCCCGAGATCGCCTACGCTTGGCACCAGTGACATCATTGGGGCCCATAGTATTGTACCATTCTATCGAAATGGCTTACTCTAAATCTTATGTACTTACGGGCATGTCGGCAGAATTTGAGTGAGTTGGACTTGGCGTTTTCGAATATGTCGATGGCTATCCATAATGGAAATCCTAACCGGAGCGTTGCAATGCGCTGGACTCCGGGGTGAATAACACTTCATCCGGCTTAAGACGGCGACCTGGGAGTCGCATCTCAATCGGCGAGACTGGGTTCGACGCTCCTCGGTGCGTGTCAATTTCTTCCTATTTTTTAACTTTGTGGGCCGGGTCAAAATGCTTTCGCACTTCAGTAGTATCTTCGCAGAGACAGGGAAGTACAGAAAATGCCCGCTGCACAATCAAAAGGGATTGTAGCGGCGAGAAGGCGTTCGACTCCCACGGTGCTTTGATCAAGTCCCAATACCTTTCCCCCAATGCTTTTGGATCTAAGTAACCAATCAATTCAGGTTGAATTGACGGTCAGAAAGGCACCGTGGTGTACGAAACACACGTCGGACTACTTCGAGTGTTATCCGGTACTTATCCGGCGAGACGGGGTTCGACTCCCCGCGGTGCACTGATGCTACCATAAATATCCCTTTATTTTTTAAGGCCCTGACTCAAGATCTATTCACACCTGGCTCGTATCCCCACAGGTACAGGAAAGCACCATGGTGTACGGAACACACGCCGAACCACTTTGAGGGTTCTGATACTTATCCGGCGAGCCGGGGTTCGACTCCCCGCGGTGTCTTGACTGGTGTCAATCGGATTTTTGTTTTGTCCCTTTGAATCCGAGCAATTTATTATAAATGAAGCTCGGGTTCAGGGATAGGAAAGCACCATAGTGTACGGAACACACGCCGGATAACTTTATTTGTTCTTTCCGGCATGTCCGGCGAGACGGGCGCGGTGCCCTCGCCGTAGAGCATCTTTTCTATTACTTGTGGCCCGGTCAAAATTCACTCACACCTTAGATAAGACTATGCCCGCAGGTACAGAGAACACCGTGGTGTATGGAACACACACCGGACTTCTGACCATGTTCTCAGTGAGTATATATTCGGCGAGATGGGGTTCGACTCCCCGCGGTGCACTGATGTTCTTGATATTCGTTCTTGATATTCTTTTATTACTTTTGACTCGGTCAAAATCGATTAACACCTTAAGAATATCGCCATAGACCAAGGAAAGCATCGTGGTAGACGGAACACACGCCGTGTTTGTAGCTGAGGGATTTTTACCGTCAGCCGGCGAGATGAGGTTCGACTCCCCCCGGGGCACTCCTCCTCGGGATCTTCAGTATTTTTTGTGCCACTGCTTCAAATTTTATTCGGGTATAAGGACCAGCGTTGCATTTAGAGGAACGCACCGTGGTGTACGGAACACGCGCCGGACTTCTCACCATGCTGTCAGTACAGATATATCCGGCGAGAAGGGGTTCGACTCCCCGCGGTGCACTAGTTAGGTTCTATCTCTTTTTATTACTTGGGTAGGGCTCAAAATACATTCGCACCTCAAGACTACGCCTGCAGGTATAGAGACGCACCGTGGTATACGGACAACACGCCGGACTTCTCACCATGCTCTCAGTACATATATATCCGGCGAGACGGAGTTCGACTCCCCGCGATGCCTTGAGTCCGCTATGACATCTTTTTTCCTCAACGCATTTGAATCAGCAATAAGTAGCAGAAATCCAGGCTGAATTCAGGGATAGAAAGGCACCGTGGTGTACGGAACACGCGTCAGACCTATTGATTGGGACATTGATAACGGTACCCGGCGAGACGGGGTTCGACTCCCCGCGGTGCCTTAGGTCTGGAACCATGTCTTTTTCGCCCTAACGCACTTGAATCTGAGCAACGTAAATTCAGGTTCGATTCACAGATAGGAATGCACTGTAGTGTACGGAACACACGCCGGACGTCTACTAGGCGGCGGTGAACGATTTGAGCCGGCGAAATGGGGTTCGACCCCGCGGTGCTTTGAAGCCTCTCAGCCATTTTTTTCACCTCAACGCGCTTGAATATGAGTAACCTAAAGTAGGGTGGAAAGCAGAGATAGGAACGTACCGTGGTGTACGGAACATGCGCCGATTTCGTTGACTGCATTGCTGGAGCGTATCTGGCGAGACGGGGTTCGACTCCCCGCGGTGCACTGGATCTTCTTCATCTTTTCTATTGCTTGGGTAGGCTCAAAATCCATTCGCACATACATGCCTCTTTCATAGCTACCAGAAAGCACCGTGGTGTACGGAACACGCGCCGGAACTCTAGGCTGGGTCGAGCGGGTTACTCCCCGCGGTGCCTTACCGCTGGAACAATGAAATTTCCCCCCCTCAAATGCAAACTGAGTGACTTAAATGCACGCGGAATTCAAGGATAGGGACGCACCGTGGTGTACGGAACACGCGCCGGACGTGGAGTCAGCGAATGAGTTAGCCGGCCAAAAGGGGTTTGACTCCCCGAGGTGCCTTAGCTCAGGCTATTTCACGTCTTTTTTGTTCGCCCCTACGCATTTGAATCTGAATAACTTCAGTGGAGGTTGAATTCAAGGATGGAAAAGCACTGGTGTACGGAACACACCCCGTGATTGTCGCCGCGGGATTTCAACCGTCAGCCGGCGACGCGGGGTTCGACTCCCCGCGGTGCCTTACATCTGGAGTAACGGAATTTTTTCCCTCTCCAAGGCACTCTGAACAACTGGATTGTTCAATTCAGGGAGATAGAAGCACCGGGGTGTACGGAATACACGCCGGACCTTTTGATCGGGACATTGATAATGGTACCCGGCGAGACGGGGTTCGACTCCCCGCGGTGCCTTAGGTCCTCAACATCTTTTTGTCGTCCCAACACGTCTAAATCAGCGATAAGTAACTTAAATTAAGGTTTGAATTGAAGGACAGAAAGGTACCGTGGTGTACGGAACACGCGCCGAACTTCTTGGGTGAGCAGCAGACCTATATTCGGTGAGACGCGCGGTGCCTTGAATACTCTTCAACGTTTTTTCTTTCCATCCAACGCATTTGAATCAGCAATGAGTAGCGCAAAGTATGGTTGGATTGGAATATAGAAACGCACCATGGTGTACGGAACACGCTCAGGATATTTGGATGCGTTACGCTCAGAAGTGTCCGGTGAGATGGGGTTCGACTCCGCGCGGTGCACTGCTGCTATATTTTCCGCATTCCTTTTTTATTATTTTCTGCGCCCTGCCTCGGAATCCACCCACATCCTTAAGACTATATCCGCATTTACAGGAGGGCACGGTGGTGTATGGAACACGCGCAGTGTTTGTAGCTGAGGGATTTTAACCGTTAGCCGGCGAGACGGGGTTCGACTCCCCGCGGTGCCTTGGGTGTGAACAAATGCCCTTTCTTCCCAATGCATTTGAATGCGAGTAACTTGATCAAGGATGAATTGCAGGATAGAAAGGCACCATGGTGTACGGAACACACGCCGTGATTGTAGCTGTGGTACTAATAACTTCAGCCGGCGAGTTCGACTCTTCGCGGTGCACTGGATCGATCTTCCTCATCTTTTTTATTATTTGGGGTAGGGGTCAAAGTCCATTCACTCCTCAATACCATCCTTACATGTATAAGAATGCACCGCGGTGTATGGAACACACGCCGAACTTCTTGGGTGAGCAGCAGACCTATATTCGGTGAGACGGGGTTCGACTCCCCGCGGTGCCTTGACCACTCCTCGAAGGTCTTTTTTTTTTTTACCCCAACGCATTTAAATCTGAGTGCCTCAAATCAGGGTTGAATTCAGGGAGAGCATCGCATCGTGGTGTACGGAACACACGCCGTCAGTGTAGCTTGGAAAGGAGAAATTCCAACCGGTGAGACGGGGTTCGACTCCCCGCGGTGCCTTGATGGCGTAACTTTTTTTGCCCCGACCCAATGCATTTTGAATCTGAGAAACCAATGGATTAGGATTAAATTCAAGGATAGGAAAGCACCGTGGTATGTGGAACACGCGACTCGCCGCGGTGCCTTGAGTGTCGAGCAACCGGATTTTTGCGTTAACACATTTGAATGTGAGTAACATAAATGAGGGTTGGATCCAAGGAGAGAAAGGCACCATAGTGTACGGAACACGTACCGGACTTCTAATTGCGTTCTCATCAAGTATATATCCGGTGAGACGGGGTTCGACTCCCCGCGGTGCCTTGGGTGTCGAGCAACCAAATTTTTGCGCTAACGCATTTGAATCTCACACACTTAAATTACAGCTAGTTGCGGAACTTAGGGCGCGGCCCATTTTTTTTATTTTTATAGATGTTTCGGATATTTCAGCTCTACTGAGCTCAGTTCTTCACCGATTCCCTTGAAACTATGATCAATAGATTTGCCTTGCGATTCCGGAGGGAGTGACGTTCGAAAATATGTTAGAAGCGTGGGAATTGCCTTTTTCGGCAAATTGTGAGGCATCTTCTCCTATCAGCTCTAGCATTAAATATACTGATCCGATTGACTTAGTGTTTGGATATATCATACTTATATGCGTTACCCAGGATGTATCGTGCCCAGATAAGGATTAAAATGTTTTGTTCACATCTGGCATGGGACTTAAAACTGATTGAAATTGAATACAGTAAGGCTTTTGAATAATGAGGTATTTTGACGATCTGGGCACGACACATCCTAGGTAATGCATATAGGTATGATATATCCAAAAAATAAGTCAATCGGATCAGTATATTTAATGCTAGAGCTGATAGGAGAAGATGCCTCACAATTTGCCGAAAAAGGCAATTCCCACGCTTCTAACGTATTTTCGAACGTCACTCCCTCCGGAATCGCAAGGCAAATCTATTGATCATAGTTTTAAGGGAATCGGTGAAGAACTGAGCTCAGTAGAGCTGAAATTTCCGAAACATCTATAAAAATAAAAAAAATGGGCCGCGCCCTAAGTTCCGCAACTAGCTGTAAGGTTGAAGTGAAGGAGAGGAAAGCACTGTGGTGTACGGAACACACGCCGTGACTGTAGCTGGGGAATGATCAAAACTTCAGTCGGCGAGACGGGGTTCGACACCCCGCGGTGCCTTAGGCGCTCTTCAATGTCTGTTTTCTCCAATGCATTTGAATCTGAATAATATGACTGAGGATTGGGCCTCTTCGAGGCAGGCGCTGAACCTTTAGGCTCAAGTTGAAGACTCAGACTTCGTACCCTTGGCCGCGGCGGGGTATTCCGGACCGGGTGATACCATCACTTGATGGTGTCACCGTGACCGTCCTTCCTCCGACTCTCTCGCCTTGCTCTCGCCCAGCTTCGCCTCCCAACTTCCTTCACACACTCAAAACAAGAGAGGCTCTCGTTGCCCGCTAACTATACACTACACAACGGCTGACGTGGCAATCAATCAACTGATTGATTTCGGACGCAACATATTCCGAGTCCGATGCGGCGGACGAACACGAAATGAATATGACACATCCAAAGGAACAGCAAGTGGCGTTTTGGTAGGGGTAGTAGCTCATGATCCTGGCATTTGGCAAGAAAAAGGTGGTGGTATGGCATTGCATTTTTTTTTGTATCCAAAGTTCCACATCGAACACCAGGAGTAATATCGTTTCGCGAGATGACCAAATTTGTATGACGAATTCGTTGTTTGTGCATGTTAGAAAAACGGATATTGATCGAAACCCAAGTTCCCCAGGTTAGCCAAACCTAAAGGTTCAGCAATAAATTATGGTTGAGTTCAAGGGATAGGAAGGCACCGTGGTGTACGGAACACACGCCACCCCTTTCAACGGCTTTGGGTTGAAGCGTATCTGGCGAGACGGGGTTCGACTCCCCGCGGTGCCTTAGCTCTTCGACGTTGTTTTTTCCACAACGCGTTTGAATGCGAGTCACTTAATTAAGGTTTAAATTCAAGGATGGAAGGGCACTGTGGTGTACGGAACTCGCGCTGGCGAGGCGGGGTTCGACTCCCCGCGGTGCCTTGAGTTGTAGCAGCCGTATTTTTGCGCTAACGCATTTGAATGTGAGTAACATAAATGAGGGTTGGATCCAAGGATAGAAAGGCACCGTGGTGTACGGAACACGCGCCGGACGTTTGGGTGGCAGAAGATAGTTTGAGCCGGCGAGACGGGGTTCGACTCCCCGCGGTGCCCTGAGTGGTCGTTGTCGGTTTTTGATCCTTTTACACCTTACCTCAAATTCCTTTCATCTGGATGCTATCCGCACAGGCATAGAAAGGCACTGTGGTGACGGAACACACGCCGTGATCGTGGTTGTGGTGCTAATAACTTCAGCCGGCGAGACGGGGTTCAACTCCCCGCGGTGCCTTACGCGCTGTTCAACGTGTTTTTCCCCCCAATGCATCTGAATGTGAGTAGCATAAATTAAGGTTGAATTGAAGGAGAGAAAAGCACTGGTGTACGGAACACACGCCGGACGTTTTGATGGGAGTGTGAATACTTAAGTCGGCGAGACGGGATTCGACTCCCGCGGTGCCTTGAGTTGTAGCAGCCGTATTTTTGCCCTAACGCATTTGAATCTCACACACTTAAAATTAAGGTTGAATTCAGATATAGAAAGGCATCGGGGTGTACGGAACACGCGCCGGACGTTTAGGAGACGGTCCATGATTTGAGCTAGTGAGACGGGGTTCGACTCCCCGCGGTGCCTTGACCACTCCTCGCAGGTCTTTTTTTTTTACCCCAACGCATTTGAGTTTGAGTGCCTCAAATCAGGGTTGAATTGAAGGAGAGGAACGCATCGCCGGACCTGTCATTTTGAAGAGATGTACAGTTTCTGGCGAGACGGGGTTCGACTCCCCGCGGTGCCTTGCATGTGGAGTAGCCGTTTTTTCGCCCCAACGCAACTTTTGGACCCTGCCAAAAGCCACTTACACCTTGATACCATCCTTACAGGTATAATAAAGCACCGTGGTGTACGGAACACACGCCGGAACTCTGAATCTGGTACGAAGCGTTACGGCGAGCCGGGGTTCGACTCCCCGCGGTGCACTGCCTTTCGGCCACCTCTTTTTATTACTTGCTTGTGGGCGCCGCCTAAAAATCGATTCACACCTTGAGAATATCCCACAGGCATGTAAAGGCACCGTGGTGTATGGAACACACGCCGGACGTTTGGGCGGCGGAATAGCCATCAGCCGGCGAGACGGGTTTCGACTCCCCGCGGTGCCTTAGGTCTTGAACCATGTCTTTTTTACCCCAACGCATTGGAATCTGAGCAACGTAAATTCAGGTTGAATTCAAGGATAAAAACGTACCGTGGTGTACGGAACACGCGCCGGACGGGTAGCTCACGGCCAACGCCTTCAGCCGGTGAGACGGGGTTCGACTCCCCGCGGTGCCTTGATCGCTGCCCAACGCACAGTCTTTTTCCCCAACACATTTGACTCGGAATAGCATCAATGAAGGTTGAATTCAGGGATAGGAAAGCACCGTGGTGTAGGCAACACACGCCATCATTGTAACAGAGGGATTTCACCCGTCAGCCGACGAGACGCGGTTCGACTCCCCGCGGTGCACTAGTGGTGGGGTTTATTACTCTCTTTTTATTATATTTGGGTCCTGCCAAAATCTTCTCACACTTGAAGACCCTCACTGCAGACTAAGGAACGCACCGTGGTGTACGGAACACGCACCGGATGGTTAGGCTGTCACGATCTACTGTAGCCGGCGAGCCGGGGTTCGACCCCCCGCGGTGCACTAAAGGCCTTCGCGCGCTTTTTTCTCTCCGGCTGGGCTCAGATTCGTTCTCAGGCGCTCTCCGCCTTTTTCCTGTTCCTGTGAGTATTTACACCGGTACCCTGCTTCGAGCTCAATGCTCACCGTCCATCATCCATCGTTCAACCGAATTGAACCGACGCCTGTCAACGCGCGGCCGAACCCAACTCGGACAGGCGACGGACAGGTCAAACAAATGGCGTTTGCGCGGCTTGCATCTAACTCGCTGGGATTACCGGCTGTCATGTCAGCGGCGCCAGAAAAAGTACTAGTGCCTTGTGCCAGGGGCAGGCAGGCCGCGCCGCCGCCTCATTGCGTCCGCCGCCCACTCATTGCGCACTCTCACTTGTTCCTCATAGTTCTGCACTCAAAAAGCAGACGAGAAGAGAAGTTCGTCAAACGCTCTGAATCCTTTGATCCAATTCCAAGACTCTATCCGAGATACAAAACACTAGCTTTTGAGGGCCACTGCTGCGCATGGCAGTACGAGTCCTCTTATTTTTACCCCTGAATCTTTTGTAATTAACTCTCAAATCCATATCACATACATTGCTGCACTGTAGAAAACAGGTTCAACACAGGGTATTATCTGTTCCATCTTAAGGAATCAGGTCTTGTGTCCGTGGACCGTATACTATCCGTGAGGGGGAAATCCCGGGTGTTAATTGGCGTGCACGTCACGCGTTCACTCATACATTACTCATACTGGCGGGGATTTTAAATATATTTTAAAGAGACAATCTCATCGTCATTATTCGGTAGCTTGGATATCATTTCACCTTAAAAATGTGTGTGTGGAATATGAAGAGTCTTTCAGCTGCCCCCAATTTTCCAGATGCAAGTTGGCCTGATTTAGACACTTCCGACCCTCTCAGGTCATGCAGCATGGTGCTCCCGCGGGCCACGAGGAAAGACCTACAGGCGGTGACAAGCGGCTATTTCTGTGATTTGGAGCTGCCGATATGTTCCCATGCACCGTGAGCTCCGAGGGACCGAAGGTCGTCGATGAGCAGCATATATCTCATTCAAATTCAGGAAGCTCGGCAGGAGCGGGCAAGCTCGGCGCAAAGCGTCGAACCAGTGGGTGACGACCAGGCATGTGAACACGAGAGGTGGGGAACCAGTATTTGGTGCAAGAAAACATCGCAGTACTGGTGAGAACTAGAATAGTACTAATTGCTGGTTGGCAATGGCACTAGTGTTACCGCGGTCAGGTTCTGAACCGCTGGTGAACCTGAACCGGACCCGAACCGGACCTGGGGTCTGGTTCAGTGGCTGTGAGGTTATCTGAACCGAATCCGAGGTCCAGTTCGAGGTTCAATAAATTCCACAAATCTCCGAACCTGGCTGAACGCATTCCAACCGTTTCGAAGCTCACCCCAAAACCACTCCCACAGACTCGAAATAAGTACCCCAAAGCCTGAGGGTGCATCGAAAATTTCAAACTGCTACTCGGGTTGGGCAATGTCATTCCCTGTGAGATTTGAATTGCATTTACCTCAGTATAAACCATTTATGAGTTCTGCCCTGCGATAAATTGGCGAGAAACCTCAGCTGAGATGTTCAAACGAGTCAGCAGGGAAGATTTTCACTTTTGTTCGAAATCTTGACCTGAATAATGTGGCGTGTTCGAAAATAAGATGCCCATGTTAGTGTCTCTGATAGAGGCAGAGAATAAGTAGGGACTGACTGGTTTCCCAGGACAGTGAAGAGCTCAGAGAATAGCTTTATGCCCAATATTATTATTATGTGTCCTGAATGTATCGTTCATGTGCCACCTCTAAGTTCGATGGATAGCATTATTGCCCTGTGTGGTCACAGATGGACAGCTGTGCTACACCTTTCTGTGAGATATAGTATGATTGTGCCGGTTACGAGCTGTCCAAACGATTTTGATCAGAATAAAATAGGTTCAAGGTCCAAACCTGTTCTGAACCTGAACTGGACCCCGTCGAACCTGAACCTGTGGTCCGGTTCACTGGCTGTGAGGTTCAGCGAACCGAACCTGGGGTCCAGTTCAGGGTTCGGAAAATATGGATGTGAACTTCAGAACCTGAACCGGACCGCGGCAACACTAAATGGCACTGGCTTGGCAGCCCTGACTTCCACCAGTACCATTGCCAACAAGTAGGTTTCATGGGAAGGCTTAGGGCACTGGCAGAGGCCCTATAATCATCTGCCCTTGATTTTGACTCGCCTCTGGGACCGGAGTTCTTTATTTCGGAGTCCCCGCTTATGCAATTGAGATCTAGAAGGAACTACACCAAAAGAGCCTGTACACTGTCGGTTGGAATATTGAGGAACGGATGCAAAATATTAGTCCCCTTAAATAGGTCCTTGATGATGCCTCACAGGTTGAGGACGAGGTGAAGGTCGGAGGTAGAACGATAAAACTGCTCAGAGAAAGCAGCAGCCTAAGTGGTGGCGCTACCAGGAATAAATATCGGTGATTTGTACTGAACAGATGCCTACACCGCCAATCGAGACTTTTGTTTTTCAAACATCAAGATCTGATAATGTCAAAATATGTTGGGGCACATTTGAACGAGGTTGATGTAAGGTCTCAAGAAGGTTTGAGGTCAAATACCGGCAAAACATGTTTAGAAGATCGTACCAATGTCGTCGAGATCAAAGATAAAGATAGTGCAGAATATTTTCAGCATATCTCCGAATCCCGAGAAATACCTATGTACAATGTAAGTACCTCTAGCTAGTGAATGATATCCCAGAGAGAAAGACTTTGCCCATGTCGGCAGTAGCTTTCAACTCAAAGAGTTAAATTTGATGCGCGCAAACATCGAGCCCCAGGACTTCAGTAACTTGCATTCTACACTAATACAGGACTGAGTGACTTTTGACTATGAACCAGGATGGCTGTCTAGGCCGCACAAATATTGAAGTGGATGCATTCCTGTGAGTTGAAGTTCGAGCGTGCCGCAACTGATGATCAAAACAGGGTCCGTGCGCATCAGACCAAACAATCGTCAATGTTGGTCGCCCACTTTTCTCTTTTACCCCCACCATCCATCCACCCACTGGCATCCGACAACGGTAACGGACAGCGCGACATCTTCCCAGAAGCCCACAGCTTCATTGCACCTTTGCTCCCCACCCTATTGGTCATCCCACTGCCACTCCGCATACCGCTCAAGCCAATATCAAGCCTTTCGCACAGGTTATGCAAGAAACCACCTCAATCCTGCTACCTTGCCAAGCTGTTTCAAGATGTCAAAGTCTTGATTATCAAGCCCTTCCCTCAACCTCCCCCTCCGCAAGTTTCAATCTGTCGCAAGTCTCGGGTTCTCTACGCAAGCCCATTGTTTCACGTACCGGTTGGTCAACTCAGTGCCCATGATGTTGCTGCCGTTCTGTTCCACTTCCGCACACCGGTCACTCGGCAACCGACGATTGGCAAT